TCAGACGTGTGCTCTTCCGATCTCCCCAAAACCCCAAAACCCCATCTGGATAGAATTCGTTCAAATACTAATTAGATTAATCACAGCTTAATTGATTTAAGAAATTAAGAGAATTAAGAGTCTAGACAAAATTATGAATTATATATAATTATTGTTACTCATCTAGTGACATTTAGCAACTGCAATAAAAACTCATTTCTCTCAGTGAATGTTCTAAACTTTATCCTCCAGCAAGCCTCGTCTAGAAATCTCTGAAGAGTGCTTGCTCGAATAGTTGAATAGGTGTGAATGTTTCTCTTCAGAATGTGCCAGAGACTCTCCACTCTGCTAGTTGTCTAGTATTCACTTGTTCCATAACCATACTTAGCCTTATTTACTACTCTGTGAGTGTAAAAATCCTTGCAGTTGTTATAGCCTCTCCAGAAGTCAGTATACACCTCACCTCCTTCCTCTACATTATCTCTGATAAGCTGAATACAAGAGACATCATTACGATCTTTCATCACAAATGCTCTTACATCCTTTGTTCCTCTCTCATAAAAACCTAGCACCCACACTTTTGACTTAACTCCACCCTTTGTGTGATGAGTGAATTTAGACTCATCGATTTCCACTGCTCTGCCAAAGTGGCCTAGCTTATGCCTTCTGTAATGATTTTAGAAGTAGATATGTATTAGTAGTCTAATTTTGCGATAAATATCATAGACGTACATATACTGCAGCGAGGGCAAGTTAAATTCCTTGAGGTCTCTGAATGTCTAAAGTGCATTGAATCCTCTTGCATCTTAAAATCTCCATTAGTGTCATGTGATTCTAATCAAATATCGTGCCCTCTCTGATACTGATTCTCACATCTCTACATTCTAATCTGGAGCATTTGAATAATACGCCATCTTTGACCTTGGAATGGCAATTGATTATTCTCATCTAATGATCACAGCAAGGGCATCTACGAGATTCTGGCAGCATGCCCTTTTATATCATCCATCTCAAGCATCTTCTGAAATTCTTTGTAATTCTAAATACTTCTAGATCTCTTTCAAAGCAAGCTTCTACTGCATCTCTCTTTATTGGCTAATGCCTCTATTGTTTTAATTTGAAGTGCTTGAGCGAGGTGAACTCTTTTGTGGCACTACTATGACTCCCCATTTCATCCTAAAACTCAGCCATAGATTTCTAGAAAAACAGAGACTTTTGTTCATTGTCATCGATGGGCTCGTCTGCTTCAAGTTGATTGTTGAAGACTCCTTTTTCTCTTTGTTTTTCCACATGATCCTCGTTTATTCTGATGGTCGCACCAGATGACATGAAATTTGAAGCATAGTTTTTCCTCACATCATTTTTCCATTCCTCGTAATTTTCAACAGGAAGAGTCTATCCCTAAGCAGTAAGCTTATTAATCATTAAATCTGAAGGTAGACTTATTTTCTATATGGCACATCCCGCCTGCTTGCTTATTTCTGTAAGATTGCTTGAGCTATTTAAACTTATTTCATTGGTTAGCAAGTTAGGCTGTTTTTAAAGATTTGGAGTTTACTTTGGAGGTAATTCTTTTTTTAAGCTGCTTCTTGAGCTGGAGCAATCAGTTGAAACTGAGCTTGAGTTGTTTGAAATTACACTTGCGTTAAGATTTATGACCTGCTGGTTACCTTAATTTGATTTTTAAGTTGCAGTTGAATGCTCATTAAAGCCTAGATTAAGCACAGGTAAACTTGGCTTCAGAGTCTAATTCATAGATTTTTCATTTTTAAGCTTTTATATCTGATCGTAATTTGACTTCGTTTAGAAGTGAGCTAAGTCCTCACTCTCTTAGTAATCTATTTTTATCTCTTTCTTGACATTGTATAGCAAATTTTCAGCTTTAAATCTCCCCATAAAGGCTAATTCGTCATCCTCTTCCTCGTCTGACTTAATACACTCATAATCATATTCATTAATCATTACGGGCTCTGCTCTACTCTTAGATATTTCCTCGAGAAGCTCTAGGTCCTCTGGGTGCTTTTTATTCAGCCCCTCCATATCATTCCACTTATAGAAATCAGTGATTTCTTCATTTTGATAAGCTGCATATGCTATACCTCTAACTCCATTCATTTGAAACTCCTCTACAGCCATTGGATTGCAGTTTTCATCTTTCATTAACTCTCTCATCTCGCAATCAGAATCGGCATCATCATCGTTTTCAAACTTCTTTTTGTGCTTTTCCCTATTTTTCCTAGATCCATGGTAATTTTAGGATATTTTAGCAATCTCCATTTACTCCAGCATTCTTTCCTGGTCTTGATCGTCATCGTCAGAGTTCATGTTTAACTCTTTTCCATTGTACTCATTATCCTCATTATGCTCGGGATTATGCATTTAGTTCCTCCCTCCTCGACCAACGTTTAATTCTGAGTTTTGGTCAGATTTCAGATCCCTTCTTTTGAACTTCTTTTTGTGTTTCAACTGATTTTTTGCTCTCTGTATTGAGTTGTTTTTCTATTGTATCAACTTTTCAGTTTTTTCATTCAGAGGGTCAACTCAGAGGAAGTCCTAGTCACGCAATGCTTTTTATTTCAACTTCTGCACTCTTTACTCTTCTTCTTCTTTAGATAAGACTTTGAAAACACTCTTGGCTTAAAGGGAGTTATTGCTAGTCTATTACTAGTTGCTATTGTTTATACTTGAGCTCATCTAAGTTTAATGATTTTATGTTATTAATTTTTAATTGTTTTAAGGTTAGAAATATATATTCGCTTATTTAAACTTGACCAATTTTTAAGATCATTTTCTAGCGGGGTTTTGGGGTTTTGGGG